GAGGTTGTATTAACTAAACAGATGGTTTATCCGTAGGAATAGTATGAGCATGGCAGTTTTTTGGTTAGTTATAAGATAGGTAGCAAAAAATATTACTAAAAGGTTTCAAGCCTAACAATAAAATTACAAAAAATATGTTAACAAAATGTTCATTATATTTTATAAGCATCATTAGCGTTTTGCTATTTCTAAGTTACTCTACGATTTTCTATAGAATAGGAAAACAAGAAAGCTTTAAAATGGATTGGAAACACAAATCAAATTTTCTTTTTTTTTCAAAACTGCAAAAAAATATAATTACAGGGATTGTAAACATGTGAACGTACTCCTTACTCCTTATAATCAGTACAATAAAAATATAGAACTCCGAAAGTAAAAAATACCGACTGTATTTGTGTGTGGCATTGCATAGCCGAGGGCTATTATCAATAATGAAAAAAAAAAGAATACCCGACGAATCTCATTGCATTCAACCTACCTGTCAAGTGTTGTGAGATGGAGTAATCTTGTTTACCGTACATTGTGCGCGCAAACAGTGGTAGCAGTAGCAAAGAAGAACCACACGACGTCGAGAGATCATTCTGTATTTGTTTCACCGAGATCTTTATCAAATACGATCGGAAACCGGAATAACAATAAAACAGTCCTCTAAGTGCCACTTATGACAGGACTGCGGGTCCTTTTTTTTGGCATTGATGTGTTTTTCTAGTAAATTAAAAACGTTCTCTGTCGGTACAATGGGGTTTATCTCTCCTCGTCTGCATCGATTTTTTTTACTTTTATTTATCTTTTTTCGAATTAGGTTTGGATTTTAACAGATGTCGAATGATGATTACGAAACAAATATATATATATATATATATATTCTGTTTTTGCAATCGGAGGATATACAATACACGGTCATGAATGGAAATAAAAGAAATGTTATGTTTAGAATAAAAACACACTTTGGGCGAACTCCAGTGTACACATGTTGCCACCGATCAATGGTAGGTATGAACTGAACAACAGAAATGTCATTGTATAGAATATATATTTTTTTATTTCTCAGACGTACGTAAACGGTTTACTCTATAAGCATTTTCATCATTGCAATAATGAAAATTGCATAAACTTTATATCACGAAACTCGAAAGTATATTTTGTTACCCAAAGAGATATCAAATTAATATAGGCAAACATATAATTTTAAGTCAGTACACTGTTGAAACGTCGACGCCTGTTGTCAAAAGTAATGTATTACGTTGCCTAGAAAAGTAAGTATACAAATTTATTTTTGTTTGTTACTTCAAAAAATATTATTTCGTTTATCACAAGACATTTTAGTCGATATAGTGTAGTGACATTTACAATCATATTTATGTTTCAGTTAAATTTGGTATACTTGGCACTTTCTAGAAAATCACAACCCAAATGTATTAATACGATTATTAATGAGTTTAGTGCTAGAAAGGGAATTTTCCAATAAAACTTGTCATAAAGCTAACATTTCAATACTCATATTAACATAACAAAGATAAATCTATAATGGTATTTAATATTTTTTCACGAAGTGCAAAAAAACGGGGACTCAACATTAACGAGACTAAAACAAAATACATGCGAATCGGTAGGAACAGAGGTCAGATGCAAAATGCAGCTGAACTACAGGTCGGAGGATATATGTTTGAGGAGGTGAATGATTTTAAATATTTAGGCACTAACTTAAGTAGCATAAACGACAACCACGAAAAAATTAAAAAACGCATTACATCAGGGAACAAATGTTTTTACGCCCTCTCGGGGCTATTGGGGTCAAAGCTACTGTCGAAAAAATCAAAAGAACGACTATACATAGTACTAGCTAGACCAGTGATAATGTATGCATGTGAGACATGGCCCACGACCCAAGGAGATGAAAATAGACTAGCTATCATTGAGAGAAAATTCCTCAGGAGGATTTACGGACCAAAAAGAAACAAAGACCAAACTTACGAAATTAGGTCTAACAGAGAACTGCAGGAACTATTCGGAAAACCAAACATAATAGCGAAAATACGCCACAAGAGACTGAGTTGGCTTGGACATGTGCTTAGGGCTAAGTCAATAGCAAATGATGTATTAAACTAGATTCCTCAGGGAAGGAGGCCAATTGGAAGACCGAAACAGAGATGGATGGACAAAAATAAAAATGAACTAAACCAACTTGGGATAGACAATATTATTGAAGCAGCTCTGAACGGACAGATGGAAAGAGATTTGTTTTGCAGCAATGGGCCTCAATGGCCTTTAAAGAAGAAGAATATTTTTTCCAACTTACCCAATGCAATTAGATAATTATTGTTTTCTTAAATCTGCATTTGTTTAACCTTTAATCATCGTAGGGAAATATTAATGCAAGAAGATAAAAAATGGACATTAATTATTTATCTTATATTGATGTTTATAGGTACTAAAAATGGAACTCAACACCGGGATAACGGTTTTACATTAATGTCACTTTCTAATTCTTGAGAAAACACAATATTAATAAACCATGTAAATATTGTAAGCCGAAAGAAAAAATGGCCTAAAAACAATGTTGATAAAAAATGTATAAAGTAAAAAAATTACGAAATTTACTGTTTTGTAATTGTAAAAATGTACCTATTATCGAAAAAAGTTTTATAAAAAATAATTTTCTTAAACTAAAGGTGCTACTATTAAAACACCAAGTGATTGTATATTAATTATAAATGAAAAATATTAAATCTTAAAACTCCGGCGAAGTGTGTAAAGACTTGCAAGCGTAGTTGCTTTTATATGAGGGCAAGAGGAATTACCGCATTTATTATTAATGGTTTTAATTTTCTCTGGTCACTGACCCTTCCTGGCAAGTACTACAAAATAATAAGTGTAAGATGTTCAAATAACTTAAGACTTACTTTCTTTTTTAGAAAGTAATTATTTTTTTCCCCTTTTTCTCGCGAGACTCGATATCGTTATTATGTATGTTCATTATTCTTAAACTATTAAAAATATATTAATGAATATAAATGCCAAAAAGCTTAATGGTGCCCGAAAAAAATCAAAATTCTGCTAAATCTTCGAAACCCTTAACGGCTCACAGAAATAATAACAGTAATGAGAAATTTAAATTACACTTTACTATAGAGGAACAAAAATTTCGAATTTACAGAAAACGTTATTATAAAGTACAAAATCAAATTTTTTTTTAAATTCAAATTATTAAAATATTATAGATTTATCCTTTTAATAATTTTTTTATTTAAATATCTATATATTATTATTGCATTTTTCAACACTTATAATAACTAGTAGTTAGTAGTGTTAGTATGAGCTATCGTTTTTATGTAAACCTAGATTTTTAAATCCTACATCTAAATTTTTCCTACTCAAACAATAAAATATCTAATATAAATTTGTAGCTTGAATGTAAAACAGTAAAATCTTTTAAATGTATGATTTTTATAGTCCAAAAAATTAAAACTCATTTAATTCAGATAACCATTATTGTATACACGGTAAATGGTAATGAGAATTTTTGAGTAAACAGTACAATTCAAATAATCTTACAAATTTACTAGGATCAGAACCCAGTAAAAAAATAGAAACAATATGAATAATGAATGAATTTGACTAAAACAATTTTATTAAGCGACTTATCACTTAGTCAGAAGCGGTTTTAAAAGAGGCACCCGTAGACCTTGGGACAAGCCAGTGATTTGAGAAAAAATTGTTTTACCTTTGTTATTGAAGCAGTCTGAGTGCCCCGTTTTGTAGACTTTATTAGGTACACTCTGGATAGACAACTTTTGAGACATGCCAAAAAAACACAAGTGTACACATATGTAATGATAATAATTCATTATTTTCCGTGGACATAAATGTACCACATTTGGTGAAATGACCTATAAAAACAGTTTTATACAGTAAAACTGCAAATATTGATTCATTCTCAATCAAATTACCAATTTTTAATAGTTATCTATAGATAGTGAGGCTACCACAAAAATTAGTAGAGTTTCAATAGTTTTTTTAGTTTTGTGTATTGCTGTTAGATAATTTTTGTACGAGCGATATTTCTATTTATTAATAATTAATATTGCACATTTTCAAAACTTACAAATAGTAGAATTTACCTATAGGGAAAACAAGAATTTTGTGAGTTCTATTGCAGGGTTTATATTCACAATGGCATAATGATTAATAAACACATATGACATAAAAATCCTCTACTAAAACAAAATATAAAACTTATGTCTATTAATAAAAATCGAATTACATAGTATCAGAATTTATATGTTTTTAATTTTATAATACTATAATTTAAACAAACTAGTAAAGAACTCATTTGTTTACTTATATTTTGGGCCAGACTAAAACAAACAATTTAGAAAAATAGCAACATACGCTTTGATAAGGTTGTAACTAACGGTTTTAAAAGCAATGTTCGTCTTTAGTTTTCTAAAAATGTATATATAACATAATATATGATTTAAACTTTTATAGAAGTAGAATACAAAGTGTAAATAATTTTTGAACTATTAAGGAAAAATGACAACAAACCCAATAATATCGATTAAACTTGTGTGACGAATTATTTTACAGAAAACAATATACTATACATTCTGAATTACTTATTACATCTTAACTAACAAAGAGAAGTGAATTAAAGATTATTTTGGTAGTAACATTCTAAAACGTTGTCATCTTGAAAGGTTTGTTATCACTTTATAGGATAATATTTATTTTATAAAATAAAAATAAAAAAGCTTAAACAGTGACGCAGCGAAACTATCCACTTTTCATAAGAAAAATAACGTTAAATAGATTGCTCCTCGATATAAAAGATACTGTTCTTATTTAAACAAATTCACGAACCGACTAAGAAACCACAAGTGTTGAACAAATAGTATAACTTAAATCTTTGTCATGTTTTAAAAACACCTAAACGGTGTCTAAAAGTAGGTACTAAGTATACAAATAAATATAATAAAACTAAAATAATCTTAACAGACCTTTTTCGGTTTTTTGCCACGACAAGGCTGAACACAGTAAAGCTAATGTTTTTCCAGAACCCGTCGGGCTTTCCAAAAGACAATTTTGCTGTTTTTGACAGCCTCGAATAACCTGAGTAACGACAAAAAAGTTAGAATAATGTCTATTATTATTAATGTATTATATTTGATAACACTCACCTTATCCATCATCGACACCTGAGATGGATACGGCCTGACCGGCATAAAGACTTTAACTCCACCAATAGTATAAGTGTACGATGGTGTTTCTGGCGACGAAATTGGCGTGCTGAACATGATGGAGAAGTATCGATAATACCAATAGCAAATATCGTCAAAACGTTTATAAGTTATAACTATACAGAAGCATAAAACATCTTCATTTAGACTTTGAACTATGTCGTATGTATAAATTTAAACTAATAAAAAAACATAAATTTATCAGAAAGTAACAGAAAAACAAGTTGTAACTAGTACTTAATACTTATTGAGAAAAACAATTCCACATTACAATTTTTTTACATCTTCTTAATCTCTATCATTATCTTGTAACCAAATATGACGTATTGATAATGGTTTGGCGGGAAAATCACAAAGCTTTCCTACTTGCTCTCTAGATGGCGCTGTATACACCATTTCTTACATTTATTATTTTTTTTAATTCCTTTATACATAATATCTAGGTATTAAAAAAGTAGCCCGGGAAGCAATATTTACTTAAACAAAATTGTATAATACATTATAGTTTATACAATTTCAACGTGCTTCCAATAGTTTTCAACGTAAAAGTTGTATTTAATGTCAAAAACATTAAGGATAGCATGTACATGTCTGGTATTTATAGTTGGCAGGCAGTTTTATATTTTTGGCTGAGGCGATAAATTATTAATTACACCCTTATACCAACCAGGCCTACTTTGTTTTAGCAGCTCATATTTATCATAACCATTCCAACACCAAATGACGTTTATAGTGGAATCATATATTATAATTGAATTATTGTATTTAAGCATTAAATACATAAATATTAAAATAAAAACATCTTACAATAAAATTATTTTACAGTATTCTTTTTTCACTTTTATTATGATCAGTGAAAGTCACAGGTACTTAAGTATCTCTGCCAAATTCTACATCAAGAACAACTTCTGAACAGGAGTTTCAAAATTTTAATCTATATTTTAGGTCGTTAGATAATATACTCATTATGTTTTATTTTTTTGTGATATTTAAATTATAAAAATGATATTTTTAAATGACAAAAAAGTGCATAGTAGTGTTAATCCGGGCCCGAATCGCCCGATATTAGAAATGTACAAAATATAATTATTTAATTTGTCTAAATAGCTTAAAAACAATCATAAATAAACAACCTTGGAGGTTAAGCGTCGGTCAACTGTTTAGCCGGGGACACTGTTAATAGACGTATCGAGAGGACTACGGTTCAAACCTGACGATGGTCGACTGATAGGTTACTTTTTTTATTTTATTTTTTATTATACATTATTGCGTTGGATTTCTACAGGCTAATTTATTTAAAGCTATCAAAAAATTTCGAAAATAAAAAAAAAATCGTGTGAAATAATTTATGACATGCAAATGTTACTGCAACGCACGGCCGAACTCGCGTCTGGTGCAATTTTTGTAGTTATACGAACAAATTTAATATTGGACTTTTTTTTTCAACGATTTTTGTTTGTTATAAGCGCCTAATGTCTAATTTATATATATTTTTAAGTATAATTCGTTAACGTATACGAATTCGGAATAGTGCCTTTATGGATTTGTCGGTTAAAAAATGTGGTCTCTGTTTCGTAAGACCATTTTTCACACTGCCTTCATCGAAAGAATTAAAATCGCCGACAGTGATCATGAAATGGGATAGTTGTACATTTATGCCTGTTGTCTAAAGAACTAATTTGCCTGAACTTGAGCAACAATTTGAATATTGTACGCGCACCTTTTTTGAGACAATCTTCTTGGTGTTTCCAACAATCCTTATCGGAATTATTTTATAGACCTCTGCACCCCCTTACTGTATGAGTTAGCCAGAGAAGCTCAGTCAATTCTGTTCGTATCCGCATTCCATCAATAAAGTGATTATTTTCAGTTTAGAGACTCGATCGTAGCTGTCCTTTACAGTAGATAATTTCCTTTATTCCACCAAGACCATTTGGGTTTTTATATTATCGAACTAAGTCATTCCTTGTCAGTTTTGTTCTTTCCAAAGGAAGTTGACCTGATCCCGATCGTAGCCACTTGTATCGTTTTTTATGTACATTACAACTAACGCAACTAAAATCATGTTTTTTCATGGTAAATCTTTTAAAGTTTTAAATTTTTTACTTGACAAAACTAAGATGACCTGACTAGTCTATAGCAAAAATTAAAATATCTAAATTTATTAGATATGTGACATTGCTCAAAAACCAACTGACACGCACTCATTATTTGCTTAGGACATATGCTAATATCAAAAGTCACTAAAACGTCAACAGTTTTATCGCCACGAATTTAATGGCTGAAATGTACTTACATTAAAAACATTGTGCATGAAACACAAATTATTGAAAAAATTATATGAAAAACGTTTTTATACAGACTACAAACAAAATATGCCATATTTCTTGATTAAAAATCAAATACCACATTCCCTTAGACAATTTTTTGATTATATATAAAATAGTTCAAAGTTAAAATACAGGAAAACACCCCTGCTCCTGGATAGAGCCTAACGAAATTAAAAACATTGTTTCATTCGAGCATTTTTATTGCATCTTAATTTTGGAAATATTTTTTCTAGAGAAGAATTCTCTGATTAGCTGCCTTTTTTATTCATGTTAATACTTAATGCACACAAGCATTTAGGTATACGTGCAAGTGTCAGAGTAAGATTTTATGTAGTTTTTATGAATCTAATACCGCGTTTACAAAATTACAAGCAGTCGTTAATTTGCATAATGCGAATAAACCAGTTTTTAATACACCCGAGCTTGGTGTGAATTAATTATTTAATGAAATATTAAATTTAATATTATTCCGAGATTAAATAAGTACACGCAAATCAAAATGCTAATGCACATTAAAAATTGGGTTATAATAGGGGTTCGGATAACCGATGAAGTACCGGGCAAATTTCCGATCATACGCTTTATAATTTAAAAAAATATCTAAAATTAAATATGTTTCTTAGAATTAGACAATCATTATACACATTACACATATTTTAGGTAAAATGTGAACTTTGGAACTTTATTTGGGCCCTCAGTTTACGCATCTTAATCTCGAATCAAATCGATTCGCATTACGGTAATTACCACATTTAGGTATATGCGATCGTTAAACATAATTGTCGTAATTATTATGATTTATAACCATTTGGATACTTATGCAATTTTTAATTCAAGAGTTAGATTCAGTTCAATTGGCGAAAACAAATTAAATTATAAATGGGCTTATATGCGCTGAATTCTCGGATTAACTTAATTCTAATTAAGTTAGTGTACATTGACCACTGCATATAAATCTGATAATTAGCAAGCAGTAGCTAATTCGTATCCACCATGTTTATGTATACACAGTTCCGTCTTAAGCCTAAGGGCCCCCGGCCTGATGGTGCCCCTAATAATATAATTTACATCTTTACGTTTTTGTTTTGGTTTCCTTAAACGGCACTCAAACTCTGCGAGACCAAGGGCCCCTGCATAGTTTAAGATAGCCCTGTTTATACAGTCGTCAATGCGAAAATTAGGTGCGAATAAATCCATTTTTCTTGTGGATTGACTTTATGCGCAATAACAACAATATATTAACGTGGTAAATGTGATATTCATTTAATTATTATTGACTGAAATAATCGTATCTATTAATTATCGTATACCTACTGCGTTTACAAGCGTGGTGAACCCGATTTCGCTAATTCCATAAACTTAGTTAACTTCTGAAAATTAATCGAAAATCCAGCTGTATATTAACTAGTTTACGACAATTCAGTTTCCCCTAATCATGATTAGTCGATTCGCTTTTGAAATTCGAGTTAGGACTAACCATGTGAGCAAAAAAAAAAAGAAAGCACGTAAACAGATAAGGCTGTTATAACCGAATTAGGATATAATATAATTGAATTCGGTTTATTAATTCTGTAAAAATGGCATAAATGAATGCGCATTACACAAACTCAGTATTTTATATTAACCATAATTTTAGTTGGACCACCTATGTATTATTTTCTGTGCGTAGGTACATGTAAATAATTATAATATTCATATACCCATGATCATGTCGCACGTGATGATTACCAGTTATTTTTAAATGTCATTACTAACCAGTATCCAAGCGCATGGTAATTACCCAATTTAATTCGGCCATACCGTGATATCGATAACTAGTTTACTATAAAAAAACTGATTTTCTGATACAGGTACTTACCGACTACTACCGGCAACGTTCAGATACCACCTTTTAATAGGTACTAACTGCCGCTCTGTAGCAGGAACGTTAAGATACACCGCGCCTCGCGGTCAGTGAGCAATTTTAAGGTGGCCAAAGAAGTTAAAACAAAAAATCGATATTTTATTTAACATAGAAAAGCCTTACGGCAATAGCATAAAATGTATATGATCGGCCCAATGGGTCATACCTAAGGTGGAAGCGACTCAGTAGGCATTTTCTCACATGCCCGCAGTCTAGTTTGTCATTTACCGCCAGTTCTGCGTCGTAAATGCATAGTACTCTAATTTGTATTTTTTTTTTTTTTACACAAAATGGTACATATATTTTCAAATGACTTAATGACACAAACAATACAGTGCGGCTTTTTCTTGCTACACATCCTGGCCGTTGGTTAAAAAAACAGTACGAAAGGCAAACAAAAATATTATAGCGTGACATTAATCGTAAGATTGTATCGACAACATTAATGAGACTTGTAAGTTGTAGCATAAATACGACGATGCTCACTTGAAATTGTATTTACACACGACGGGTTACATATTGGTGGCACGACTTATTAAATGAAAACCATCGACACGACTTTGGACAATATTAAAAAACAAACGGCAATCGTTAATGTCATCTTTATACATAACCAAAACGGCGCCACACACTATAATATACACGTATATAAACACCCCACGTCATATCATAGTATCCTCGCCCGCGCCATACCGGAGATATAGGTACCTACCACTGCAGTCGGTATAATAATAATCATAATGATAATAATATACACCGCTATAGGGGTGCGGTGCGGTTCGTCATTTGTTTATACGGTTTTTTATTAATGTCAACTCTCGTCGTGGCACATAAATTACATTTCCGTTTAAACGATACTGCCGCCGTCGTCACCACCGCCAACGTAGCCGAAAAGTTTTCACATTCGTGTTCCGCCACAGTTTGTACTTAAGGTACACCCTCTGGCCTTTTACGCGGACTCCCGCGCGATAGGAATGAATGACAAAAACAATTCGCTGCCGAAAAAAAGACTAAAAAAAAAAGAAGCTAATTTGACTCTGCCGCTGTCGGTTTGCGTG